TGTCATCAATTGCTTCTCATCAATCTTGACTCTTGTTAGGTCATTGATTGAAGATGTTAACGGAAGTGCGCATAAAATATCTAGATACATACCAGAAACCAGTATTTTGTGTGCAATGCTACATTGCTACTGTCTATAACCTAATGTTTGTTTGTTTGTTTGTTTAATGCAACATATTTAATCCAGTATTCCAGCTATATGGACGGCGGTCTGTAAATAACTGAGTCTGTACCAGACAATCCAGTGATTGACATAATGAGCATGGATCCACGCAATTTGGATATGATGACATGCATCAACCAAGTCGGCGAGCCTGACCACCCAGTCCTGTTAGTTGCCTCTTACGACAAGCATAGTCATCTGTTACGGCAAGCATGGGTTGCTGTAGGGGTAGAATAGGTCTTCAGCAACCCATGCATGCCGTAAAAGGTGACTATTCTTGTCGTAAGAGGCAACTAACAGGACTGGGTGGTCAGGCTCGCCGACATATATTTACACACCACTGTCATATAGCTGGAATATTGCTGAGTCTGGCGTTAAACAACAAACATCATCATCATCATCATCATCATCATCATCATCATCAGTCTCCGGCGGCAAAGATGACAACTGGCAAGGTGATGGCTTCAGTTTTCTCAGATTCTTACAATCATACTGGTGGATTACTCCTAAAAGACCTGACCATTAATGGCCAATTTTATGCTCATCTGCTTCATAAACTGCCCAGACATTAATCTATTGTCCTGATGACATAACGTTATCAATTTTGGCCGTCATGAATAATGGCGACGTCATATCATAATGACCTCAACAATACACCAGTGTGACACATAATTGCTTCCACTCACCCTGACCAACAAATTTTAAGAATCAATCAAATCTACATGTGCAAATATCAGAAAGTTATTGCACTCAGTTCTCAAACCCTTATGGACAATATTTAACAATTAAGCTGTCCTGGTCTTGACAATGATCAACAGAAGGGGGAATTGGTTGTATGAGATGCCGACTCCCATGGGTCACTGGGTCCTGCAGTGTTGTACCCTGCTCCCCGCCCCCAGTCAGATTGCTACACTGACACTATCAATAATATATACAGGCCAGCCGCAGTAAATCACATTTGTGACTGAGAGATCAATCAATAAGACTAACAGATGATCATTGTGTTCTGAGGAAAATATCTTCACTATCTTTAAGCATGAAAGTATTAATATAACCCAAGCATGTTATAAGTATTAATTATTCATTCAACTGGCCAGTGTGTGATGTGCTGTGAGATTGCAGCACTGGAGTGTCTTGTACAGGTTCAAATCACCGAGATGTCACTGTTATTACTTTCTTTATAAAACAAAACTGATATATTTGGTGTCAGGACTGACTGTGTGATGTTCATGATTGTTTCCTGAACATAATGGTCTTCATTACAGAAGATGTTTTTAGGGAGTGGGCGCCGTTGTACAAAACAACCATGGCGCTACGTGAGGTGAGGTGAAATGGGGTTTAACGTCGCGTCCAAGATTATTGCACTTATATAGCGACGTGCATGTACATGTATGTGTTTGTGTGGCTGCTTGTACAAGTCCGAACTGATGCCGATTTATACTGCTAGCTCACTGAGATACCATGCCACAGTTTAATATGAATACCCCACTCAGACACAGTATACTGACTCCGAGGCGACCAGTCCTTGTTTTAGCCCCTTAATGCCGAGCGCCAGACAGGGTAACAACAAGTACAATCTTTTAACGTCTTTTGGTATGACACGGCCGGTGATCGAACCCCGGACCTTCCGCTCTCTGGGCGGACGCTCTACCACTAGACCACGGAGGCGGTCCCTTAGCGCTACGACTGTTGTAAGTCTATGTTAAGGTATGGGAGTTACGATCACCTTAGCACAGAGATCGCTTTGTACAATGGTACCCTGGTCAGTTATGTTGGTATTATAGGGGACAGTGTACTGTGAGATTGGGCAGAGGGCGATCCTGAAAAAATATTACAGCGAACAAGGCCGAGGGTCACCAAAATTTATCATAACTAAATTGGGGGGTGGGGGGGAGGGAGGCTTGAAAAAAGGACACAGTTCTATTTTTCCAAATAAATAAATTATACATCTGAACAATGTTTAGGAACTGGGTGGCATTGTACAAAACAACCTTAGCGCTACGACTGTCGTAAGTCTATGTTAAGGTATGGGAGTTACGATCACCTTAGCGCTAAGATCACTTTGTACAACGGCACCCTGGCCATATATTGAAGGAAGGAGGTGGGGCATGAAAACATGTATTTAGAGGGTGGGGGTGGAGGGCATATGATACAGCCCTAAGACCAACCTCACTGCCCCCACTCCCAACCCACCCATCCCCCTACCGAACACACCCCCCACCCCCAACCCACCTGCCCATCCTCCGCCCCACCCCAATTCCAGCATAATAAAGAAATGCTATCACTATTCTACAAAAGATCTATTTAGATTCATTAAATCATTTCATATTTTGTGTTACTGTTTCACAGATTCCATTCTCAAAAGATATTATTTTGAAATGTGAACACAGTTAAGCTCAAAAGTAACCATGTATGTTTTAATCAATCATTTAGCATCAATCATGGAATGGATTTTTCAACATGATGTGAAAAATTACAGCAGCTTAGCAAGACATTTAACAACACCTGTGTATTCTAAGCCAACATGATCAATCATTACAATGAAACCCCTAGCTGTTATATTGACAGGAAACTTATATTGTTATTGTTGGGCAATTATATTGTCTTTCACAATTGAATGTAATATGGATTTTATACTGCTTTCAAAATCATTTCTGTTATGTATCATGCAGGGTTCAAAATTCCACATATTACAGTGGCAAATGGCATTGTTAAAATCTTAATTTATGGTTAAATAAGTTCCTGATACCTGGGCACACATTGAATTAATATTTCAGCAAAAATGTTTGTGATATAAATCCAATGGTAAATGTAAATTAAGGTAAACAGGATAAACACATGGAAAATGAAAATGTATGTGAATGGTATTATTCCATGGGCGGATACAGCTTTTTTGAAAAGGGGGGGTGCACAATTAAGATCTATTTATTGTCTTTGGTGGTAATTTATACAGAAATAAAGATTTTTTTCGAAATAAAAAGGGGGGGGGGGGGGGGGTGCGCACCCCCGCTACCCCCCCTCTGTATCCACCCATGGATTCACAAAGTCATCCTTGGGATTCAGAAACTGATTAGGATATTATGAATTAAGTGAAAGAAACATGCACACGACTTAATGGTGAAATGGCAATCTCCAAGGTTAAAGATTGATCAAAAGTATTTTTCTTGTTGACACAGTTGAATTTGAAAGGGCACATCTAAATATCATTTATGTATTCCCCGTGGCAAACTTGAAGTGAGTTATGTTGTGGATGTTGTCTCATCATGGATATATCAAAAGACGTTAAAAGATGGTACTTGTTGTTACCCTGTCTGGCGCTCAGCATTAAGGGGCTAAAACAAGGACTGGTCAGCTTGGAGTCAGCATACTGTGTCTGAGTGGAGTATTTGGCATGGTATCTCAGTGTGCTAGCACTTTAAATCGGCATCAGTTCGGACTTGTACAAGTAGCCACACACACATGCATGCACATTGCTATATATAAGTGCAATAATCTTGGACGCGACGATAAACCCCATTTCACCTCACCTCATCATGGATATGGTGATCACAAACTAAGGATCGTTATACAGCCAAGGTTCTCACCGAGTTAGTCATGCCTAAAATATTACTATAAAAGTTCACCATATTGAATCTAAATTATTAAATCTTGAGGTTTCATAAACTTCAGTTCATTATCATATTTATGCATTTATCAGTATTAATTACAAATAACAACATTTAATTTGTGAACATATCATAAATAAATCTGATTTTCAATTTTAGAAGGTCAAATGATTTTTCTATTTAAAAATGTTACTAAATTTGTCATGTGTTAGTCTGAAATTCCTATACATATTAATGCCGAACGGTTTATCACAAACGGGTTTCAGAGAAATCTGTAGTGATGGATTTAAAAAAGAGAAAAAAATATGGGATCTTAAATTAGAGCTTTCTCCAAGAAGTGAGCCAGTAGAAATTAAATCTATTTTAAGACGTCTGAAGAAATCTGGAACTTCGCAGCTAGAGTGTGATTCCGTCGCTGCCGAGCTAGTTTGTCATTGTTGAGGGTGATGGCAATGTGTTCACCAAATCCTTAGGGTGTCTGGCATGGCCGATATGCCATCAAGCCATCCTTCTGTGGGCAGTTAGAGCGATGGCCACCACCCTGATCAGGGCACAGAAAACATTGCCGCATGTATGCCACATCCTTCATACAACATGCATAAGCTACTCCCAGATTATCAGATGATGTTACAAGGATTAGGGAATTCCATTCGCCTGGTCTTCAAGATTCCTCTGAATCAATATTTAGTATGGCTTGGTGGGGCTGAGCGATCCTTTCTGCTCGTCCACTGTGTGGTTTGAGACAGGCTGCAGTTTTACATGTATTCACTCATGTTTTAGATGATGTGGCATGTTTTACAGGTCCAAACACTGCATAACAACTGGGCACCATCGTTTGTGTGGTTCCAGACCCTTCTCAGACATATGCTATGTGTGTAGACCAAATGAAGGGTTTGATGCATTGTCAGGACCAGATAACTTTGTCATCAACCAACTGTGTAACGTTTCCATCTCTCCTCCTGTGATTCCCCTAAAACAAACGGCCCTGTGGATTGAATGACACGTTGTGACTGTTAACACATTGTATTGACATAATTTTCAATTATCTTTCCTGGATGTTCTGACAGTGTTGTTGGGAAGAGACGCTCGCAGAGGTGAGCGTGATTAGCATTGCTGTGCTACTGGATTGGTCAGAATGAAAGGTACATGAAGCATCCTCATCCAGAGAGGGCAGACTGGACCGTATCGGGTGCTGACGGCACTGTGATACTGCAGCTTGCCGTCCCAGCCTGTCAGAATCCATCACGGAGATCATCATCTAAACTAATAACTCCCATGAGACTTGGAACAATTTCATTGATTGTCATGTGACTTTTTGTGAGCGAGCATGTGCAGTGGGTCCATTCAGCCTGTGACAGTTCGGAAGTACACAACACATCGACAAGACGTGCATCGCTCACATGGCGATGCACAGTCAACCAAGCTTAGCCATTTAGTCCTCTTTCATGCATGACAAAACATGCAAATTGGTTATCCTATGCTGGGCCTGCACTCCGATGTGCAGTATTACTGGCAAGCCAATGTTGCTTTTGGATTTATTCTACAGACAGAGTGTAATGATGACAGACATCTGTGTGACAGTTTTCTTCCATCCTCTATGGTACTAAGTCATGACAAACATGGGCAAGAAATTGTTACGTTCCTTTAATGCCCAGTTATTGAAGTTTAAAGTAATGTGTGGTTTGTCTATGGACTCGGCAGCCAAAGAAGAAAAGGCTGTTGCTTCAGTGTGCCAAGACCCCATCCCTGTTGCCAGATTCCTTCACACACTCCGACAGAAGAAGTCAGACAAGCAGCTCAACATTGAAGTCAGGGTAAGATATTGAAGTCATTTGAGGGACCGGTTCAAAAGTTTGATGTCGGATAAAAATCCTAATTCATTTAGTTTAGGGGTTGGGGGTTAATGGACCTGCAAGTTTTCCATTTGAGAAAATCAACACCTGAATTGTGTTGCAACTTAACCAAGCAAAAAGTCATATGTTTGTTCATATACTGTTAGGAGTTGTCTTTAAGTACATCCTGTGCTTCCATGGGGTAGGGTTTTGTCATCACTGGCGCTGCTACTAAACTTTTCTGATTACCGAATATAGGATGGAAGATTTGATCTATGAAAATAACCTACAACTGATTTTCAACACCTAGTAAATAAATTTCAGTCAATAAACGTTCGACAAAAGAGGCCACTAAACTAAGGAATTCAACTTTTTCAGAATTATTTTTTGGGTGAGGGGTATGTCTCAAAACTTAAGGTATTATGTTTTTTATCCGGCATGAAACCTCTGAACTGGTCCCTTAGTTGCTGTTGTTTTTGTTTTCATTAAGAATAAATTGAAATGTTGATAATTGCCTTAATGCTTGTTGTGGATATAAATCCTTGTTATTACCATTTATTTTTTTAAATTCTTGCTGTTATTGTTTTTGTTAATTATTGTTGAAGTCAGTGTTATATTATTTCTTTCCACCATTGTCCTGATAATTGCTGTTGCTTTCATTGTTTTCATAATTGTTCTGCTGTCAGTGTTTTTGCAATTGATGTTTCTATCATTGTCTTTATAACTGTTTCACCCCAGGGGATTAGGTTAGAATAGCTCCCTAACAACCTATGCTGATGGTAAGAGGCAACCAAATGTGGTTGACAGCATGTCGTCGTAGAAAGTTGTGGAATACTGCTGGTATATTGTATAATTGTGGCATTAAGAAACAAAAAATAAAATAAAATGAATCATAATTATAGCACAGTAAGTACGTTTATAAAGTACATGATAATAATGAACTGACCGATATAACAAACTTAGTTTTTAGTCCCGGACATTTGTTGTAAATTGCTGTATATATACTTATAACGAACTACGGTTATTACAAACTAAAATCAGTGATCACTTTGAGTTTGTTTTAAGTGTAGTTTACTGTAGTTTCAAACTTTACTGCCACCTATTTAAAATCCAATTCTTACTAATGTCCCCATCAACAGTCTGTATAGGATGAATTACTGAGACATGCAGCAATGAAGGGTTCGTATACCATGGAGCTGTATGGCATGTAATACATGCTTTAGGGCAACACCTACGATCACATGTAGTCAGTAGGTTAGTAGCATCAAGCAGGCTCCACAAGCAATTATCACTGGATAACCTGTCATTATGGCTCAAGAGAAGATATCAATTGTCTTGGGTGTTATTTCTGTCGAATGGTTTCCAGCTAAGCTGACTCTCTGTGATTCTGAAAACATTATGTCAAAATTTGGATTAGCAGCATCAGAACACTGTTTTTCTACCCCCTTTGTCTACTAGGGCTGGGACGGGTAACTCGGGTACCCGGGTCGGGTGGGTACTGAGTAGGACCTGGGTACCCACAGGACGACCCAGACCCGTGGTTAGTCACGTGATATATTGTTTAATTACAAAAATATCTAGAACTCTATGGTAACACTACAAGTCAATAATGCTCGCATTTCTTTCTGGCTGGGCTCCCATTCCTTCTGATTTTTATATGGTTGAATAAAGATATAACTTATTTCGACTTCAGTGTATGAATGACCAGATTGTTTGATACATGCATCTGAATACGTTTTGCCAGGGCTATGCTTAAAATGTTCCCAATTAGACATTTTGAGACATCTCCTGAGACCTACAGTGGGTACCAGGGTAGGGTCGGGTAATAGGGAGGTGGGTACCCGGGTAGACAATTTGGACTCGTCCCAGCCCTATTGTCTACCGTCTTTGTTAACCATCTGTCGCAATCTACTGTCTTCCTCTACTTCATTACCTCTCCATCTGTCTCTTCCAGCTTTGTCTACCAGCTTGTAATCCTGTTGTTGTCTTATTAGCTTTATCAGTATGTCATGTCATCATGCATTATCTAATGAGTTTTCTGAAATGAATGGCAAGTAACACAATACATTATAGAGTACTGTAATATGTCTGAATGATTTATGTTGGAGTTAAATCATTCATAAGGAGGAAAACAAATTAGTGTATGTCAAAAGCAGAAAGAGGTCAAGAATGTGCGATTGATTTTTTCAAGATGCTGTTATTTGACAGAAAAGCATAAATCACAGAATACGGGTGCTGAATATGTACTTGTTAAAAAGAGATCTGGGTTAAAATTGGTCTTCAGCAACCCATGCTTGCCGTAATAGGTGACTATGCTTGTCGTAAGAGGCGACTAATGGGATCGGGTGGTCAGGCTCACTGACTTGGTTGATGCATGTCATCTTATCCCAATTGGATGAAGCGATGCTCATGTCAATCCCTGTATTGTCTGGTCCAGGGTAGATTATCTACAGGCCAACGTCATGTAGCTAGGGAATTGATGAGTGTAGCATAAAACAGCAAACACACAAACAAACACACAAAGCATGTTCAAGTTCAAAATCACAAATAAGGAAATAGAACATTTTGTCTTCCGTGGGTGTTGCTATGCTTAGGAGAGGTTGTAGAGGCTTTCACAGATGTTTCCTGAAGAAGGTACCTCTGTTTGTTGTCAGGTCTGTAGGATGCTATAGAGACATTGTCTACCTAACTTCTCCGATTTTTCGGGGGCGGTCGGGTAGCCTAGTGGTTAAAGCGTTCGCTCGTCCCGCCGAAGACCCGGGTTCAATTCCTGACATGGGTACAATGTGTGAAGCCCATTTCTGGTGTCCCCCGCCGTGATATTGCTGGAATATTGCTAAAAGCGGCGTAAAACCTCACTCACTCACTCTCCAATTTTTCATTCTTCTTTTGTTTGAACCTGACCATTATTAATCAAGTTGTCCAATATTTTTGTTTCTCCTTCGTCTTGATACACCGACAGAAAATCACTCGAAGAGCTATATGATTAGTCTGGCCAAAGTACACTCGGATTTATTGCTTATTATATGAATACGACAGACAAATAATTTCATGAAGTTGTTTTAAGGAGAGTCAATATTTGATCAATTTACAAACACAAGAATAATGTTTTCTTATCATCCTGGATTCTTTTGAAATAAATTAATCTGGGATTTCTTTTATGAATTTATTTTGTTCACTAACAACAAGAAAATGATGATTTGCCCTCTAGTCATAACCCATGAAAATATTAATTGTTTGTTGGACATGCTGGATGTTTTCAGGACATAATAATTTAAATTGTTCAGTTCCTCTAAATGAAATGACTTTTTAAGTTGCCTCCATTTACCAGTCTCCTCCAAAGCCTTGGAGTGTACATCTTGCATTGTGGCATTATGTTCCGTGGACATTACGCCTTGTGTCAACACTGTTAGGTGGACCAGTATCGGCTGCTCATACTTGACTGCAACAAGGTTGACTAGATTCAGCCTGTCATGTGTCTGAGGGATGATACATGTGTCTGAGGGATGATACGTGTGTCTGGAGATGATATGTGTGTCTGAGGGATGATACATGTGTCTGTGGGATGATACATGTGTCTTAGGGATGATACATGTGTCTGGAGATGATACGTGTGTCTGAGGGATGATACGTGTGTTTGAGGAATTAAAAATGTGTCTGAGGGATGATACATGTGTCTGAGGGATGATACATGTGTCTGAGGGATGATACATGTGTCTGAGGAATGAAATGTGTGTCTGAGGGATGATACATGTGTCTGAGGGATGATACATGTGTCTGAGGGGTGATACATGTGTCTGAGGGATGATACATGTGTCTGAGGGATGATACATGTGTCTGAGGGATGAAATGTGTGTCTGAGGGATGATACATGTGTCTGAGGGATGATACATGTGTCTGAGGGATGATACATGTGTCTGAGGGGTGATACATGTGTCTGAGGGATGATACATGTGTCTGAGGGGTGATACATGTGTCTGAGGGATGATACATGTGTCTGAGGGATGAAATGTGTGTCTGAGGGATGAAATGTGTGTCCGGGGATGATACATATGTCCGAGGGATGATGTGTGTGTCTGAGGGATGATACATGTGTCTAAGGGATGATACGTGTGTCTGAGGAATTAAAAATGTGTCTGAGGAATTAAAAATGTGTCTGAGGGATGAAATATGTGTCTGAGGGATGATTCATGTGTCTGAGGAATGAAATGTGTGTCTGAGGGATGATACATGTGTCTGAGGGATGATACATGTGTCTGAGGGATGATACATGTGTCTGAGGGATGATACATGTGTCTGATGGATGATACATGTGTATGAGGAAATAAATGTGTGTCTGAGGGATGATACATGTGTCTGGGGATGATACAAATGTTCGAGGGACGATATGTGTGTCTGAGGGATGAAATGTGTGTCTGGGGATGATACATATGTCCGAGGGATGATGTGTTTGTCTGGGGATGATACATGTGTCTGAGGGATGATACATGTGTCTGGGGATGATACAAATGTCCGAGGGATGATACAAATGTCCGAGGGATGATGTGTGTGTCTGGAGATGATACGTGTGTCTGAGGGATGATACATGTGTCTGAGGGATGATATGTGTGTCTGAGGGATGATATGTGTGTCTGAGGAATTAAACATGTGTCTGAGGGATGATACATGTGTCTGAGGGATGAAATGTGTGTCTGAGGGATGATACATGTGTCTGAGGGATGAAATGTGTATCTGAGGGATGATACATGTGTATGAGGGATGATACATGTGTCTGAGGGATGATACATGTGTCTGAGGGATGATACATGTGTCTGAGGGATGAAATGTGTGTCTGAGGGATGATACATGTGTCTGAGGAATGAAATTTGTGTCTGAGGGATGATACATGTGTCTGAGGGATGATACATGTGTCTGAGGGATGATACATGTGTCTGGGATGATACATGTGTCTGAGGGATGATACATGTGTCTGAGGGATGATACTTGTGTCTGGGATGATACATGTGTCTGAGGGATGATACATGTGTCTGAGGGATGATACATGTGTCTGAGGGATGATACATGTGTCTGGGATGATACATGTGTCTGAGGGATGATACATGTGTCTGAGGGATGATACTTGTGTCTGGGATGATACATGTGTCTGTGGGATGATACTTGTGTCTGGGATGATACATGTGTCTGAGGGATAATACATGTGTCTGAGGGATGATACATGTGTCTGAGGGATGATACATGTGTATGAGGAATGAAATGTGTGTCTGAGGGATGATACATGTGTCTGAGGGATGATGTGTGTGTCTGAGGAATGATACATGTGTCTGAGGGATGATACATGTGTCTGAGGGATGATACATGTGTCTGAGGGATGATACATGTGTCTGGGGATGATACAAATGTTTGAGGGATGAAATGTGTGTTTGATGGATGACACTTCTGTCTGGGGCTGATACTTGTGTCTGGGGATGATACATGTGTCTGAGGGATGAAATGTGTGTCTGGGGATGATACATGTGTCTGAGGGATGATACATGTGTATGAGGAATGAAATGTGTGTCTGAGGGATGATACGTGTGTCTGAGGGATGATGTGTGTGTCTGGGGATGATACAAATGTCCGAGGGATGATACTTGTGTCTGGGGATGATACTTGTGTCTGGGGATGATACAAATGTCCGAGGGATGATACATGTGTCTGAGGATGATACATGTGTCTGAGGGATGAAATGTGTGTCTGGGGATGATACAAATGTCCGAGGGATGATGTGTGTGTCTGGGGGGATGATACACTGATATACACTCACAATGATGTAAAGCATCTCTCTACTTCCAGGCCATTGTGCGGAACCAGGAGGAATTTCCATGTACCACGGCCATGTCCCCCCGAAACATCAACTTCAACATCAAGCAGGAAGTGGTAACATGTAAGTCCAATCTGACCTCACTTTCACATTTTGTTTGAAAAGGATGACTCGGCTTGAGCAAATTGGCAGTCCAAGATTCAAATCATTCAAACATCGCTCCTGTTATTGCCAATTTTAAAATGGGATATAAATCTAGAAATAATAATTATCTTAATTACCCAAAGAAAATGCTCACATTCACACATCGCATTATCACAATGTCTGAAAATGGGCTCCAGGCCATAGATCACAGTCTACTTTAGAGGAGGGCAGGGCTCCAAACCTGTTACATTTCTAGGCCTAGGAGCACTGTGTTTGCAACTGAGATGTTGTATGTTTGTTTATAGGTAATCATTAGCTGTTAGATTCATATAGGGAAGCATGAGTATGAGTGTCTTTGTTACAATATAAACACTGGAAGCCTGATTTACGCATGGCTGTCTGGAGTTGTGACAACTGTCCTGAGGTTGAAGCGCCTCTTGTGTTATACTGGAGAAATGAAATGACAGTTTCTCCAGTTGTGCAAGCATAAGAAATGATAATTATTGTTTCTCAGGCAATGCTGATTGACATAACAGTATGTTAGGGTTGTGTGTGTGTGTGTGTGTGTGTGTGTGTGTGTGTGTGTGTGTGTGTGTGTGTGTGTGTGTGTGTGTGTGTGTGTGTGTGTGTGTGTGTGTGTGTCTCTCTCTCTCTGTATCGCTGTGTCTGTGATGTGTTTCTCTCTCTCTCTCTCTCTCTCTCTCTCTCTCTCTCTCTCTCTCTCTCTCTCTCCTCTCTCTCTCCTCAAACTATATTAGACATCAAATATATCCCAAAACACAAAAAAAAACCAATAACATGAAAGTTTTCAATATTTTTAGAATGGTACTCAGTTATTTATTGGTACAAAATCATCATTAAATGACAGCTGCCATCATTTCAAACTGCAGATTCCATTTTGAGCTGACAACTTTCAGTAAGCTTACACTGTGGGAAATCGGTGACTTTCTCCTTCCTTCGGTTATTAGCTTTATATGGTACAGTGCTTATGGTGGCTATTTCCTACTTAAAACTACTTTAATATGTTTTGAGACAGGCTTTTACATGCTTTTAAATTATGCAGCTGTTTATGTCTTTCTCAACAATAGAGAATTCCTAATGAGTGTCAAGACCTTGCATAACCAATTGAAGTGACGTTGGTGCTCACTGTTCAGTTGGCATGATGTTGTTTTTCATGCAATTAGCATCTTATATAAATGTTACCTGTACATTAGTGGATGTGCCAATTACTAGAAGATGAAAAGGAATGGTTTTTCATGGCATATTTTATAGATGTGAAAGTAATTGGCATTAAAAAACATTATATATGTTGTTACCAGCAGCAACTGAATGTATTGCTTCTTGTCGATGGTCTGAACGGTGCTTTGCAAACACCTGGTGTCATCACTAACTTTAATTGATCCATTCATAAAATTTCCATCTCCTTTTTGCCTTTTACGCCCAAATGGAAATTGTTTCGGCAGATAATTGAGACTAGTTAATGCCATTGATGTTTTATGATTACATCCAATTGTATAGTTATGTAATGTTATTTTTTCTGACAGTACTAGTTATGAACTGAATAGGGAAGAGAGTGTTTCAATTTTATAGTTTTAGAAATAGTGAAAACAGTATCTAAAGCCCAGATAACTTCTGGATTTTGAAATGAAAATGAATTCTTCTCTTGACAATACTATTTTTCTCTCAGTACTGTATTTGAAAACTTTGGAATGATAGGTTATGTGAAAAAGAATCGAATATTCTTATTAACTTTTGAGTAGTACACAATTAAATTATTCACATTCATCAACTTTTCGTCATTTTTTTCCCTCCATGTGACATCATTTGTTGCATCTTCCTGAGTCAGGGGAGTTAACTGACTATAAAAGTCCAGTTTCTACCCTTGGCTGGTATTATCGAATTACATTTTGGCTGGACTAACAAGTCTATGCATTGTCCAATCAAAATCATGCAACGAAATCGAAATCCGGTTCGTAAACTGTCATGCAGATTTTGGTCGATTGCAGGATTTAAAGAATGTGCCCCGCCAACTCGTTGTCAACACATATTTTCTAAATCTTTTCATGTTTTTAATCAAGGTGCTCACGTGATTTCATGCCCTTTCGTAATTCAAGTCTTGTTTGGTCACAATATAGATCTTTATTATCGATCAGATCGTATTGACTGGGCGCCGCCATTTTGTTTGAAGCAAATGCAAGTGATATGAGAAGAGGAATCTGATTGGTCCATAGGAGAGGCATGGAAGGGACATAACTCAAAATAGCCAAACATGCCGCTAAGATCAAGCTCAGGAATTCCAGCCTAGTTCGGCAAGGGTGGAAACTGGACTTTTAAAGTCAGTTAACTCTCTTGCCTCGGGGAAATGCATTTGTTGTATCACGACAGCAAACAAGTCCAGAGTGATATCGTGTCTGACTGACTGACTGACTGACTGAGTATGGTTTTCAACGCTTTTAGCAATATTCCAGCAATATCACGGCGGGGGACACCACAAATGGGCTTCACACATTGTACCTATGTCGGGAATCGAACCCGGGTCTTCGGTGTAACGAGCGAACGCTTTGACCACTAGGCTACCCGACTGCCCCATGTCTGACTGACAGTTGCTTGACTTGTTAGATGTATTGTGTATGTCACTATTCAATAGACAGCAATTTGAAAATTTGGAAAATTTACCTAATGCACTTGTTTCACAATGAAACAATACTAAATAACCAACCTCCAAATCCATAAACAAACTAAGAACAATATGAAAGTGCTTGTGGTCTCATCTGAATGAGAAACATGCCTTTTGAAACCATATCTCATTTTTTCATAATATCTTTTGTTGACACATCATGTCTGGGAACCTTCTATGTTTTGAGAATGTATTGAGTTTGTTAAAACTGATTGCAGTATTAACTCTTGGCAAACCTCAGATCCTGTGATGATCTAGGTTAGAATTGATCTTCTGCAACTCATACATAAGGGTTGACTACCGGGATCGGGTGGTCAGACAAAACCTGGTTGATGCAAGTCATCGCATCATGCGATCAATGCTCATGATGTCAATAACTATATCATCTTGTCCAGACGCAATTATTTACACTGTTGTCATTTGGCTGGAATATTTCTCAGTGAGGCGTTTAACAGCAAACTCAATTGCCTAGATTGATCCTCATGATGTCAATCACTGGTTGTCTAGTCAAGACTCAATTATTTACAGAATGTTATCATATGGCTGGTATATTACTGAGTGTGACGTTTAACAGCAAACCCAATTGCCTAGATGGATGCTCATGATGTCAATCACTGGATTGTCTGGTCCAGACTCAATTATTTTTAGACTTTCATCATATTGGTGGAATATTACTGAATGTGGTATTAAAACACACACAAAAAAAGTAATAATTACCAAGCATTTTATGAATTATATCCCCATATTATACATTAAGTTTACCTTTCTTGACAATCTGTAACCTAAGCCTTCAATACCTATTTTATAATAATCCCAAATGTACTTGTCTGAGATATCATCCCTTGGTGTGTAGTATATAGCCGTAATACCACACTATAATTGATACTTTTGAGATCCAGATATAGGCCATTATTGTGATGGGATGATTCTTGATACAAGGATCAATGGCGCAGACAGATTGCAGGCTTCATGTGGGTTAGAAACTGCTGTGTTTTAGTGACAATGTGGACTTTCTGTCTTGAACAGCCATTGACATGTAAAACACCAGGGAGGAACGATGACTGAAAACAGACTTTTATCCTCAACTCCTGAGCATTGATCAGCTAAATTTAGAATGACCTTGTTCCAGTTTTAAGAAGCCATAGATCAATACTTCTCATGATTACATTCAACTTTACGGGAGGAATTTGGTGGAGAATTTAATTATTTTGATAGGGATCTTGTACAGATACATGTGTCTTCGAATGACATGGATGAACCTCCTGCAATGCTAACTGAAGTTTATTTTTAGCGGACAACGAGTCTGTGATAAATCCGTAAACCTTTTGCACCAGTTATTGCGAGTCTGCAGCGCCGGACAGCTTCCAGTGTGCCGGATTGAAATACTCCGCCGTGGTCAACTGGCTGCCATGTGGTCTTGTGGCAGACTTCATCTGATTACAGACAGACCAGCCCGGTGCTTGTGGTAGACAGTGTGTGCTTGAAATAACCTCCTTCTGCAATGTTGGTAAAAGTCCACCATGTAATGAAATAAAGGGTTATAAGGTTATAAGGTTATAAATAAGGTTGTTAAGAATATGTATGTGTCAAAATAGTAAATATATATACATTTCTATTACACCTTTTGTTTTACGCTCTATGATAGAAACTTAAATTTTACCAATTTTATGATGAAAAAAACTAATACATGCTATCAGTGAAGACATATTTTGCAAATTCTTCAGTTTGAATCAACCATTTTGCACACTCTAGGAGAGAACAGCCACCATGCAGATTCTGGAATAGAAAAAGTCATCCCACACATGTTCGGATAGAATTTTGTTGTTGCATATTATAGTGAGTGAATATGGTTTTACGCCGCTTTTTTTTTTAAAGCATTATTCCAGCAATATCACGGCGGGGGACACCAGAAATGGGCTTCACACATTGTACCCATGTCGGGAATCGAGCCCGGGTCTTCGACGTGACGAGCGAACGCTTTAACCACTAGGCTACCCGACCGCCCTGTGCATGTTATAAGATATAAATGATCATAAATAAGGATTGACACTTTCATTGGCCAAAATAACACATGTAATGGTTAAAGCATCCGTTTCCAATGCTGTCGCAGAAACCACCATCTTGTCCATAACACATTCTGTTCAGGAACAATTATCATTGTCTTGCATATGACGAAATAGCAGAAAATATATATGCGATTGGTTGTGAAAAAATTGTTTGCATGTAAGCCTGACAAATAGGTTTAGTTTTGTTAGCCATTGACTGTTGAGCAGATGGAGATGTATTGAGTTATCTTCAGTGG